TGATTGATTTTAGTTTGAAATCTAATTTGTTATATATTAGGATACCTACACCAGCTTGTTTCTTGAGTTCATTTGATTGGAAAATCTTATCCTAACCCTTTACTTTTTTGTATCTGTTGAGATTTGCTTTGTTACAGAGTATGTGGTCTATTTTTGAGAAGGTTCCATGAGGTGCTGAAAAGAAAGTATATTCTTTTGTATTTGGGTGTAATATTCTATGTCTTTTAAGTCCATTTGATTCATAACCTCTGTTAGTTCCCTTATTTTTCTGGCAGATCTTTCCAGTGGTGAGAGAGGGATGTTGAAGTCCACCACTATTAGTGTGTAGGGCTTGTTTTGTGATTTAACCCTTAGTAATGTTTCTTTTACCAATGCAGAACCCTTTTGTTTGGGGCATAGATGTTCAAAATTGAGATTTTCTTTTGATGGATTTTTTTTTCCTGAGATCAATATGAAATGCCCTTCTTTATATTTTCTGATACATTTCAGTTTGAAATTTATTTTGTTGGATATTAGGATAGCTACAGCAGCTTGTTTCTTAGACCAATTTTATTGTAAAATTTTTCCCAACCCTTTACTCTGAGATAATGTCTGTCTGGAGTTTGAGATGTGTTTTTTGTATGCAGCAGAAGGATGGATTCTGTTTTCATATCCAGTTTGTTTTCCTGTGTCTTTTTATAGGTGAATTGAAATTATTTTTTGTTGGTGGTGATGGCATTGTCTGTTCAATTCCCTTTAGAATTTGCTGCTGTAAGCTCATCGATTTCCTGTGTCCTTGTGGATGTAGATGAGTTCCTTGGGCTAAAGTTTTCCTTCTGGTACTTTCTTTAGGCCTAGGTTTGTCGATAGGTATTGTTTAAATTTGGTTTTATAATGGAATATCTTGTTTTCTCCATCTATGGATATTGAAAGATTTGCTGGGTATAGTAGTTTGGGCTGGCATCCATGGTCCCTTAGCAGCTGCATACTGTCTGACTAGGACTCTCTGGCTTTCATTGTTTCTGTTGAGAAATCAGGTGTAATTCTGATAGGTATGCCTTTGTATGTTACCTGGCTTTTCTCCACTGCAGCTTTTAATATTCTTTATTTTGTATGTTTATTGTTTTGATTATTATGTGGTGAGGGGACATTTTTTTTGGTCCAGTCTATTTGGTGTTCTGTAAGCCTCTTGTATTTTCATAGGCATGTCCTTCTTTAGGTTGGGAAAGTTTTCTTCTATGATTTTGTTGAATATATTTTTCTGTGCCTTTGAGTTGGGCTTCTCCTTCTTCTATCCTTAAGTATTATTATCTTCAGTCTTTTCATGGTGTCCCAGATTTCCTGCATGTTTTGTGTTAAGGATTTGTTGGATTTGAGATTTTCTGTGACTATTGAATCTATTTTCTATATCATATCTTTAACACCTGAGATTCTCTCTTCCATCTCTTGTACTCTGTTGTTTTCCATTTCCAGAATTGCCTTGTTTTGTGTTTTCTTTATTGCCTCTGTTTCAGATCTCATGTCTCCTATCATTTCCTTCACTTGTTTGATTGCTTTTTCTTGGTTTCCTTTAAGGAATTTGCCAATATCTTCTTATTTTTTGTTTGTCTTTTTCTCCATTTCTTTAAGGAAAATTTTCATTTCCTCTTTAATGGCTTCAATCATCCTCATAAAGTTAATTTTAGGCTGTTTTCTGCTACTTCATTTGTGTTGGGTTGTTCAGGTGTTTCTGTTGTAGCACCACCAGTTTCTAGTGTTGCTGTATTGCTCTTTATATTGTTGTATGTGTTCTTACCTTGTTGTCTATGCATCTCTTCCTCTAATTGGTATAGGTGGAGCTTGTGCTTCAGGGGGGTCTCTCATTCTCCAATTGGTATAGTTGGGGGCTATGGCTCTATTGACCACTCCTTCACACACAAGTAGAGCAGAGCTTCTGGTGAATGCTTCTCCTAGTGAAAGTAGGCCCAATGCTCAGGTGGTCACTCATTGAGGTGCAGGTGGGGCTACAGATCCTGTGGATGCTCTTCCTGTTGGAGATGTAAGTGGGGTTGAGAGTCCAATGGTTGTTGTATTAGTGGGTTATCTCCAAACAAGAAATGGCAGTGGATGCTGGCTGCGACACAGGTGCTGTTTCCCAGAGGAACTCTGTGTGATAGTTTCTGGAAGCTACTGCTGGAAACCATTGCTACCGTTTCACCTGGGCCTTGCTCCTGGACCTGAGGCTTTGGCCTTCCTCTGACACTGCTCCAGGGTCTGAGGAACATGGCTCCCTTGACACTGCTCAGGGCCTGAAGCTCGAACCTCCCTCTCCTGCTACTTCTCTGGGCCTGAAGCTCCAACCTCCCTCTGGTGCTGCTGGTCCAGGCCTGACTCTCAGGCTTACATCTAACTTGTAAATAAATTTAATGTAATTTGTTAAAATACATCAAAGCACAAAGAAAGAATTACCATAAATGTGTTGTATTATCAGGGTTCCTTAGAGGAACAGAATTTATAAAATTATGATATATATATCATATGCATATAATTTATTATCTTGGCTATATTACATATATCATATATTTATTATGTTAGCATTATATATATATAGTGGGAAATTACCAATACGGAGTCAGGTAGAAATATAAGGGTATTTAATAGGGAAAAGCCTTACTTACAGAGCGACCTAGCCAGCCAGCAGCAGCCTGTATGCAAGCCGAAAAGAGAAACCGAAAGCGCAAACGCAGTCACACTACATCTCTTTGACCACGCCCCCACAAGCGTGGTCAGGCACACCTGTGGCCAGCCCCTAAGTAGGCATGGCTACAGCTTCCCCTACAATTCCCCTTTTAGTCTAAAAGAGAATTAAAACTTAACAGTTTAAAGTATCCAAAATTAACAATCATAAAGGTAGAATATAAGAAGATACAACAATCTGCTTATGTCACATCCTACTTATCTTTCTTAGTTAAAACCTAAAGTCATCTGAAAGAGGTGTCCAAGCCTGAACACCTCCTTGTAATCCCAACCATAAACAATAGGAAGCTATCCCTAACTAGGTATATACACTATCCTAAGTGACAACAATGGGGAAAGGAAGTAGGCGTGGCTATAGCTTCCCATATATATATATATATTGGGGATTTATTGTAATGTTGCACAGGCTATGGTCCAGCTAGTCCAACAATGGCTATCTACCAAGGGACAATCCAAGAATCAAGGAGTTGTTCAGTCCACAATGTTGAGGCTGGATGTCTCAGATGCTTATCAGTGTATACTGGAATCCCAGCGAAGTTCGTTCTAATGCCAATGAAGGAATGGATTTGCTAGTAAGAATGAGAACAAGCAGAGATAGATAGATAGATAGATAGATAGATAGATAGATAGATAGATAGATAGAAGTCACTTCATTTTCCCACGTCCTTCATGTAAGCTGCCAGCAGAAGGTGTGGCTCATATTAAAAGTAGACCTTCCCCCATCAGAGATCTGGATTGGAAGTTGGTCTTCCCATTTCAAATGATTTAATTAAGAAAATATCCCTCAGGTGTACACAGGCATTTAGGTCTTAGTTAATTCTAGATGTTGTCAAGTTGACACATTTATCATCCTAAAGTGGATTTTTTAAAAAAACAATTCATATTCTTTCCTACAGTGTTTTTACTGGAGTACACTTGTTTCCCTTTCAGCTGGGATTTTACATTTGCCATGAAATAGGTATAACCAAAAATAAAATGAATAAATGCTATATTGACAAATACATGGTAGATTTTCTTATTGTTTTGCAAGAGAACAGAGTTTTAAGCAAAAAATATTTTGCTGCGCTATTCAGGTGAATAAGGTAAGAGAACAAATATTGAGAACTATGCAGTGATTTTGATTGGAGGAGAGTGCATGCTGTTACAAATTGTACAGCATCTGGTAGCATGTCGTACAAACTGTTATTCAAGTCCACCAACTGTGTTTTAAAGGTTTATTCATGTATATGCAAACATTGGTGTGCATTGAAAATGTCTTTACTTCATCAAGTACATGGGGATGTATGTGAGTGTGCATTCCCCATGGGGGTCAGAAAAGTGGAGCAGACCCCCTGAAGTTGGAATTATGGGAACATATTGTTGCCTGGTGTGAGTTCTTTGGAGACAACTCTTGTGAAAGAGCAGTATGTTCTCTTACGACTGGGCCATCTCTGTAGCTCTATTATTAATGTTCTTACAGTTATAGAGAGAACATGAACTGCTAATGAATTCAATTTGGGTTGTTTTCCTTTGCTTTTTGGTGTGGGACTTGGGCTTCATTTGTTGTCTTATGGCCTGGCTTATAGAACTGGTGCATGTCTATAGGGCTAGTCATCATGTTTGATTATCAAAAGTTGTTCTTGTCTACCACCCACATTTGGCTCATTTCTCTCATCCTTTGCTTTCACCTTCTCTAGCAAGCATCCCAGAATTTTGTGCTATCAATTGCTGTGCTCTGGGTCCCACCTATTTGTGTGCCCCATTATCACAATATTACTTGTAATCCTGTGTTAACTGTATTGGGCACACTAAATAGAGCCTATGGTCCAGGGATAGAGATGAATTATTTAACTCTTTTCTTGTCCCTGAAGTGAATGTTTCCAGATGTCATCTCTTCTAGGGATGCCTTTATATGGTTTCCTAAATGGTCCATACATATTTCTTTGTGGTGAGAGGGAGGAAGTGCCAATAGATAAAGAAAATAGAATGGTAATAATACCATCTGATATTAAAATATGACATTACCATCTTTTCCTGTGTGCATCACCTGGTATGCTGCTCTTATTTATCTTTAGGGTCACCAGCACTGGCTTCTGTTCTGTCTACCTCATTGTCAACCCAGAATAATTAATTCTTAATTTCAGTGTGTTGTAACTTGTCACTATAAAATATTTTTGAGCATAAAGTGTTTTATGTCTTTATCAATGTTTTTGTCCTGATGGTTTAAGTGGGTTAATCATAGTTTTTTTTTATTCCTTATGTTCTGGCTTTAATTTGCATATTATTGTTTTGTCTTTTATTTTCAGGATGAGCAGAAACTGCAAGAGAGTTTACGACAAGGTGCTTCCATCATAGGTGCCTTAGTTAAAGAAAGAAGTTCTGCACTTGCTGGTCAGCTCCTGGTGGCATGAAAAACACAGATAAAGTCATCTATAAGCTTCCAAAGACACATCCCTAAGACTCTCTTTTGTACTTGATTCCCTACTTCAATGTCTCCTCCTTATGTGTGATAGAGTACTTTAGTTGTTTTCTTCATCTTGCTACTCTCATAGAATGTGATGCGTATGTTGAAAAAAATGGGTTAATCTTCATGTTCATAAAATTATGTGTGTCAAATAAAAATGTCTTCAAGCATAGAGGGATAGATAAATGAAAAATACTGTTTTTATGTTAGAACCTGCTTGCTACTACAAGGTCTAATCTCTTTAAGGAATGAGAATTTAGACAGCTTGGTTATTCTCTATGTTAATTAACTGTTTGGTCATGTTTTAATGGAGATAATGAATAAGCTTCATTATTATTCTTAATTTTAAAATTGTCCTTTTGCTATGTGATGTATCTTTTTTGCCTCGGTTTGGAATTCATCACAACTTATAAGGAAGAAGGGAACTGGTTAATTGGATCAGTGAGAAAGCATTTGCTGTGTGTGGAGCAAAATCACAAAAGAAAAAGAGAAGGCTTGGAAACATGGGGTATAAACAGCAAATGGAATGTCTCTTTTCTTCACCTTTCTCTCCTCTAAATCTCTCAATATCTAAAGAGCCTGGAATTCCCTTCTACTCTTCTATCATTTTAAAATTGTATGCTTTTTTCCTTTGGCTTATCAAATGTTATTTGACATTATTTTAAAGAGTGTACTCCTTCTAGGTAGTTTCAGAAAAGTCTGGAGAGCTTCATGAAGTTGCTTGTGTCAGTCCCTGGCTGTGGTCTTCTGCAATGCAGGGCTACCTGAGCTGTGAAGTTGGGTACTCTTGATGCAGGAACTATGGCCTTGCAAAACCAAGATTTTTTTCTTCCAATTTCTATTAGCCACACATATTAACTTTTAATATTTCCCTTATGTTGAGTTTAATAATGACACATGCAGTCATTAAAATACCTTTTCTTCTATACATAAATCCGCTTTATTGAAATACACTAAATCAGAATATGCTGGGACTTGCATTGCATGGAGAAATTATAAGAACTGCATGAAATGTGTTTGTTCAAGATTGTCAATAAAAATATCCACTTTCTGAAATATCTCCCATAACATGTTAACTGAATTCCTGTATATTTTTTGAGTTTCAATACAACATCAGAGTTAATGTGTTATATTTGAGTGTTGATGAGATCTCAAGTACTAATATTGTATCAGAGTTTATATTTTAAATAATAGAGGGAAGAATGCAATGGGCATTGCATTCTTATTGTTATTGCAGGGCTTCTTCTAAATTGAAATGGGTTTATTGATTGTAAATATGGATAAAAATTAGTGAGCTTATCATTTGTTCTCTGTATTAAGAAATATAAATCAATTAACTCAAATTCACAGAGGTGAAAATGTAACACGAGAAATAAAAGTACCCAGATACAGATATTGGGGTTCAAGCTACAAGCTGAAGATCATAAAAGGAAAGCAGCTGTCACTAGCTCTTACTCTACTTCAGACTGAAAGATGATCCTGCCTCCATCAAACATCAGACTAACCCCAGACTTCTATGCTTTCCCGACCCGTCCAGCAGGTCCAGTTATTCAGGGTCTGAAGAGGTTCTGCCTGAAAAGAATCATGGGTGGGAGAAAAGAAGGAGACCATGCAAGCATAAGTCTTTGTCACAGTCTCATTTTATTGAAGAAGGAGTAAGACTTATATAGGAATGTGGCAAGGAGGGAATGAGGAGGGAGGGAGTGAGGAGGGAGAGGGGAGCAAGCGGTGGAGCTCCCGGGATGGACCGCGGAGCATGGAGGAGGAACTGAGGAGGGAACAGGGAGTTAGTACACATGGTGTTTTGCATAAGCGGCTATCTAAAGAATGTCGGTTGCCTGAAAACCTCCTATGTTTCTTGTTCTCGGAGCTGCTTATCTTTTCCCGGAATAGAACAGCCAGCGATGGCAGTTGCCAGGTGGCAAGTCCTTCAAGGACCTGTAATTTTCCACTGCTCTGGATGGCCCCTTAACTTATGGCTCCCAACACTTTCCCCAATGTGGCTGGAGAATAAATGCCGGATACTGACTACTGAAGACCCTACTCCTATCTTTTATAACCTTCTAGTGCTGGAATTAAAGGTGTGTGATCCCAGATGTTGAGATCACCTTTGTGTGAGCTGTTTCTGTTTAGGACTGGATCAATCTTGTGTAGATCTGGGTGACGTTGGACACACAGAGATCTGTCTACCTCTTAATCCTGAGTCCTAGGATTAAAGGTATGTACCAGCACCTCCTACCTTCTGGCTGCTGGGATTAAAGGTATGCATCCCCACTTTCTGATCTGTATAGGTGTAGGCTGACTTTACTTTCTGAATCCTCAGGCAAGCTTTAATAAGTCATAAATAATATACCACCACATGAAAATACATAAGAAATGCATGGATTTGGTTAGGACTTCTATGTTCCTGTCAATATGGCCTGATGTGGGTGTAAAGCCCTAGAAAGAAGCCCATACATATTCAGCTCATAGAAGTCTGTGAAGAGGGTTAACCCTGAAAGTGCTTATAAGGCAGAAGGAAGACGGTAGCAAGGCTTAAAGAGATGGTGAGTAGTGTTAACTCCACATGCCATAACTTGGCACATCTACACATTAGAAGATTGCTCTATAGAGTGCTCGGTGAGGCTGCATAAGTTTTTATTTAGTGCAGAGTATTACTTGAACAGGCATTCACCCAGAGTATAAATTAGTGACACATACATTGAAGATGCAGAACAATGCCCCTCTGGCACTGTTTACAAGAAGAATTAGGACTCAGGGATTTTTTTTTTTTTTTGGGTTTTTTGAGACAGAGTTTCTCTGTAGCTTTGGAGCATGTCCTGGAACTTTCTCTGTAGACCAGGCTGGCCTCAAACTCACAGAGATCTGCCTTCTTCTGCCTCCTGAGTGCTGGGATTAAGGGAGTGTGCTATCTATTACCTCCCGGCTTGCATGCAAGGATCTTTTTATTTTTATTTTTTCAGTGTAAGAGATTTACTTCTATCTCAAAGCAAAATGTATCTCACAGTTCAAATTTACATAAGTAGTACCTTCTCATAAATAAATTAAAAGCAAAATGCTGTCTGGCCTGTAAAATTATAAATATTCCCTTGGGTTGATTCCATACCTTGTTAATAGCTGCCCTTGGCATGTATCCCATGATTCTGGCATCTCCAACATCTTGGTGTCTCCAAGGCAGTCCAGGCTTTACCTTCACAGCTTCACACAATGACCTCTCTAGGCTGCCATGAAAGTACAAGCCTGACACATTCATGGCCTCAGCAGCTTTTCCTTAGCCACAGAGGGGAAGTTCCTAACCTCTTATATCCTTAACTCTAAATCCAGAACCATGTATCCAAAGTTGCCAAGTTCTGCTGCTTGCTGGGACTGGGACATGGCCCCTCATTCAAATACATTTTTTACCAGGTCCTCATTTTCAATGGTTTCATTCCCTAATCTTTGTTGTACTGGAACTCAATCTATAGACCAGGTTAATATTGAACTCAGAGATCCACCTGCTCCTGCCTCTGGAGTATGGAATGTGCCACCATACCAGGCCCTCAATTTTTCTTTAGTTCCTTTTCACAAGTTTGAAGCATATCTGGATATAATCTTGCCCTGAGGTCACTATTCCCTTTATTCCATTTAGCATTAGGTTTTTCTTTACTTTTGTCTCCTTGAGTGCTGGACTTGACTCCATTAAACTCCCTGGTTCTCCTTTTCTTCTCAAATTGTACATTTTGCATTTTTCCTTGTTCAATTTGCTCCTCTTCCTTAAAGATCTGCATAAGCATGGCCACAAATAACCAAAAAGCAAGTCAATACTAGGGTATTTGGAAATCTTCTCTGCCAAAATCATTAATTCATAACTCTTCAATTTAGCCTTAGGTAGACTTTTTTGAACAAGGGCAGAAAGCAGCAATATTCTTTGCTAAGATATCACAAGAATGGTCTACATGCCACATACCAACATTCTTCTCCTCTGAAACATCTTAAGCCAGGCCCCAAAAGTTCAAATCACACTTATCACCACTGTCTTCTATTCTGCTACTAGTATGGTCCATTAAGCACCACTTAAAGCATTCAACGGTTCTTAAATCAAAGTCCCAAACCACATTTTTTCCAAACAAAACCCCAGCCAGACCTATCACAGCAATATCCAGTCCCTGGAACCAACTTCTGTCTTTATGGTTTCCATTGCTATGAGAAGACACAATGACCACAGGAAGTTTTGTAAAGAAAAAAATTTAGCTGAGTCTGGCTTATAGGTTCAGAGGTTCAGAGGTTTAGTCCATTATCATCATGGTGGGAAGAATGGTGGTGCTCAGGCAGATAAAGTACTATGAGACGAGGAGCTGAGAATTCTACATCTGTATCAGCAGGCAAAAGGAAGAGAGAGAAAGATACATTGGGTCTGGCTTGAGCATTTGAATCCCCCAAACCCACCCCTAGTGACAAATTCCCTTCAACAAGGCCACTTCTACCCCAACAAGGATACCCATCCTTATAGTGCAAGTGCAACTCCCTAATGACCAAGCATTCAAATTTATGATCCTATCAGAGCCATTCCTAGTCAAATGACCACAGTAGGACAGTGGTCTTCATGTTGTAAACATCTGGTGAGAGAAAAGCTATGGCAGACATTTTCTGTACACACTGTCAACATCCACACATGAACCAGAAGAAGGCTCTGCTATCCTTCTGAGGCTAACCTTGGTGATGGTGGTGGGGGGTTGTGAGTTGTCACTTTCCTATTGATCTGAGATTAGGATTCTTGAGATGTCCCATCCCATGTCAACAGCACATATTCACTCAAGACTTTCCTCACTCATGGATGCTTCTTCCACTCCCCACTACTTATGAATGTTGTCATCTACAGAAAAGAGTCAGATCCTGAGTTCTCTGCAGTCATCTCAGGCATTCTGTGCTAATTTAAAAGGAAAGTTTGTTTCCCATGATAATCCATCATCACTATAGATTTCATCCCATGATTTTTAAATTATGGTAACCACTGCATGAAAATTCAATAATAAATCCATTATATAAAGTATGTAAATTTCATAGTTTTAATGCTGAAACTAGTTGTGTAGCATTTAAAAGTTTTTAAACATTTTTAAAAACTGAGTCATGCACCTCAATCTCACTCATTTGCCAGTCCTTCCATATCTGCCCTCCACCCTCTCTCCCAAAAGAAAATTTAAAAATTAAAAAAATATTTCTAATCCCTCTGGGCAACATCCCAATGCTCTCATACCACAGTCTCCAGTCCATCTGATCCTCTATCAAACACAGATTTCTCTCATGTGACTGTCTCCCGTTCCACCATTCTTATAGCATTTCTCTCCTCTGTATTTCCTGCCTCTCTGTCACATAGCCATTCCTCCTAATAGCATTGGAAGCTGCAGTTTGTCATGCAGTATAATCTTTCATCCAAACAGCTTTACCTGCAAATGTTGATTGCAATGAGTCATTGATCATTTCAATGCTTTGACTTCTGCTACTTCATCATTACTGGGCCCACACCAGGACTCCTCTCAGGTCTTCTGCTATTGCATCCAGTCTTGAAGATCCTGTGGCTATAGTTCAAAAGGAGAAGTCCCTTCCTGTGCTCTGGCAGCTCATCAATAGGATAGGTGTTGCAGTGGGCCAACTCAAGGTCCTCGATCTGGGCCTGGATGGTAGCTGAGCTGCTTAGCCTGGGTCTTCCCTTTCCACCACCCTCAGTGAGATGAGGCTAATTTCCCCAAGTCCATACCACTGCCTATCTATGCTATTCCATGAGGAGTGAGGTGTGGGGCTATTCTGTAGCTGGCAAAGGTCAGGGCATCTTAGTAGGCTTGGACATTAGTATAGTTTCAGTCAGCAGCCTAGACCATGGACATTGGCATGGGCTTTTGTGGTAGCATGGGCAAAAGACAGCAACACAGACTCTAGCTACAGTAGGACTAGGAATATAGATATGGCCCTTGGTGGCAGCCCAGGCCCAGACACCAACATGGCCTCAGGTGGGAACCTAGACCACAAACATCCAAATGGCCATTGGTGACCACAGGTGGCAGCCCAGCCTGATATCACCATGGACTCCGATAACTGCACAAGCCTCTGACAACAACCTTTCCAGTTCTGCCTGTCTCCATAGTACACAAACCACTCCACTTCACTTTCTCTCCCATCTCTCTATCACATGCTCTATCTTTTCCATCTTTCTATCACATACACCCATAGCCCAGTAGCCTGGGGCAGGTGCTTGGGTGTCTTCTAGCCAACCCTAATCATGGGGTTACTCTTAAAGTTACAGAAATTATTCTAGTTTACTGAACATCTCATTTTTTTCTAATACAGGGAAGTAAACTATGTAATCTATATTTCAGTTGTACATGCTATGATTCCATACATTTTTAGTGGTGGTCACCATGGAGCATTCTGCCAAGAGAATTGGACACAAAATCATGAAGAAGTGTACATTACCACTGACAGGAAAGCAGAGTGTCAATCACATTATTACAGAAAAGGGTGTGTTTGATGTGGACAAGAAAAATGTGCTGGCACTTATTGAGCTCTGAGAAGGCCTGACTGTTGAGGACATAAAGAAGAGCACTGGCTGTGACTTCACAGTTTCACCAAAATTCATGCCAATTCATGCAGCAGATTTCAACTTGAAGTGTGGAGTAGACCTTTGTCTCAGGATGCTAAGATTGCAT